ATCTGAGCGAAAATGTTAGACAAAGCTAGCATTGATCTAAATATGATTAAGAATCTTCCGCGAACAAGAGCAATGTTAGAATTGTCAATCGAGTTTGGAAGATGTATGTCGTATGACTCTTCTGAAATTTCGCTCTTAGTTCCAACTATGGGTGTTAGACATTGCACTGATCCAAAGATGATTAGGAAACTTTCGCGAACAAGAGCAATGTTTGGTCTGTCAAAAGAGTCTGGAAGGTGTATGTCGTATAATTATTCTAATTGCGCTCTCTTAATTCTAACTGTGGATGATATTTAATTTTTCATTTTAAAAAACGGTTAAATTGTTAAACATTCTTCAGTCTCAATTTGCTTGGGGGCTTTTGTTATTGGAGTCTTCGCGTCGAATGTCATGGTGCAATAACTTCATACTTCACCATTGCATAAATTAAAGTTCACATGGCAACCAGGTGGACAATCAGACATGGTTTGGTTTCAAAGACCCAACGTTTCGACACCTGTCTAGTGCCTTCATCAAGGGTGATCTAAACGCTGCAACAAGAGGTCCTTTTTGAGTGTATAAAAGGATCGTTGGGTCTAAGAATTGTAACTTCTCGGTTACATTAATTAAATCTTTCAACCAGAGTAGCATTAACCATGTCTGTTCACCATTGCAATTGTTTCCAAAGCGGAACTCTTTCTGGGCGTCATTGGAGTCTTCGCGTCAAATGTCACAGTGCAATAACTTCACACTTCACCATTGCAATTGTTTCCAATTAAAGCGGAACTCTTTCTGGGCATCAATGCTGACAGGAAAACATTATATCTCTTTTGATTATTAATCAGGAAGTTCACATATGACCCTCCATGGGAAAACGGACACTAACGCTTTTTCGTTAAACGGTCTAGAAAAACGGTTTTAAACGGATACCGAACGGCTAACTCAAGCGTTTAAACGGTTTCCATAACCGCTTAAACAGATGGCGAAAAATTTAAACGGTTGACAAAAGTCCAAAAACGGATAGCTTAGGCCCTCAAACGGTTGACCAAAAATAAATAAGGATTGCACGAAACGTTAAACGGTTTACCAAAGTCCAAAA